AAAAGGTTCACTTAAAACACAATACAGGAGTAATAATAATAAAGTCATTAATAATTTTACACACAGCTGTTGTTATTTACCTGAGGACCGGGGTCTCCAAGCTCTCCCTTCAAACCAGAACTTCCTGGATTTCCCTGAAAGAGACTCAATCGTCTCAGTCTCATTTTACTAATGACGATGTCATATACACTTAGACAACAGACCGATTACTATGATCCAAATGAAAGGTAGCATACCAGGGGTCCAGGGCGTCCGGTGAATCCCATTGGTCCAGGAGGCCCCTTCAGAGCCATCTACAGAAAACACGGCAGCTCCTTATAGCAGTGATTCAGGAAGAAACTCTGTTTGCATATTGATTTATGTTCCCTGGATAAGATCATCGTCTTAATGTTCACAGAATACCTGCTGTCCTGTTTATAACACATCACCTCTGTTCTGTGTTCACTTACTGACCACATTAAAGTCTTATTTTGATGAGTTTTCATAACATAAATAGAAAAACGAAATAATTAACAAAGTGCAGTTTTTAATGAAATATTAGAAACAATGTCTTTCACAAAAGGTGACAATACCAACAAAGCATCAGTAATCCAGTCATAGATAGAAAAGCTGAAATAAAAACTCATATCTGACCCTGGCTTGGGATAAGATGGCTGCAGCCTGAGCCTCCTGTGCAGACACGACCGGCCCCTTGTCTCCTCCACTCTGCCCGAAGCGGAACTGCAAACACAAACATTCAGACTCAGACCTGATCAGTGACAGTGATGCAGGAATTACTGTAACATATATATATATAAAAACAAGGAATAAACATTTGAATAAACAAACAACTCAACATCTGAGAGCATTCCTGTAGATTGTAGCTGTGTTCAATGAGGAAAACCCGAAATAATCCAACTTTGAAAGACCCAAATCTCGATGCTTATAAAAAACCAACACTGACAATAAAGAGTTAAAACACATTCAGATCTGGTTTAAACAAAACATTTGCCCAAATACGACTCATATTTATAGCTATTCTGATAGTTTCCATAATCAGTAAAGGCTGAAAGGTTAAAGGTGACTTACAGGCAGCATGAGTGAAGTTCCAGGAGGTCCAGGAACCCCATCAGCTCCAGGAAGACCAGGCCTACCAGGAGTGCCCTGCAGGATATCAGAGGGGCAACGGTGAGTCGGCCAGTATAAGAATTTAAAAACATAAACAATTCAGCTCCTTTTGTATAGCACATGTGTAACACACAGATTCAGATGCACGCTTCAGATAAAGGAAAGATACTCACCCTCTCTCCGGGATCACCGACAGAACCAGGAGGTCCAGAAGATCCAGGGGGTCCAGTGGGACCCTGCCAGATAAAAATTAAGAGTTCAAATATTTGTCGACAGAAAGTGAGGATTTATTTTTTAAGATGGAGAAAAATAATATTAACTTACAGGAGTTCCCTCAGGTCCTGGAGGTCCTTCAATCAGCATCCCCTGCAAAATCCCAAATAAAGTAAAAAGACAGACAGACAAACCATCAGACGTCCTCTTAATGTCTACTCCATTTATCCTCTAATGGGTAATGAGCAACACTTCATAGCGTTTCTTAACTGGCCTCACAAGCTACAGCGCCACAAATATCTTTGTAAAGGTAAATGTGTATAACTACAAGGTTAATTGGCCACTTTGTTAGGTACACAGGTTCAGCTGCTTGTTAACACAAACATCAAATCAGTGGTCTGAAAAAGAGAAAATATCCAGTGAGCGCAGTTCTCTGGGAGTAAATGCCTCAATGATGTCAGAAGTCAGAGGATAAGGACTGCTTCAAACTGGCAGCAGGCACAGAAAACTCAATTAATCACCAGTTACAACCAAAGCATCACTGAATACAAACTGTGTCGAACCCTGAACAGATGAGCAGACCAGGCTGTGCACCTGTTAGCTTAGAACAGGAAACTACAATCAAAACTGGACAACTGGAAAAATGTTGCCTGGTCTGATGACCATGCAGGAAGATGAACCACAGAGCTTTTTTTTTGGAGTTTACTGTATTCACATGATCTCCACAACCACCAGACCTCAGTCCAACAGAGCACAGAGGATGTGCATCACAGATGTGCAAATCTGCAGCAGCTGTGTGACGCTATCACCACCAGAGTCTCTGAGGAATGTTTCCAGCACCTTGCTGAATCTAAAGAATTAAGGAAGTCCAAACTGACTGTAACAAGCAGCTCCTAACAAAATAATTGGTGAGTGTATTTCTTGGATTACTGTGAAGAACGGGATAGTAATGGGAAGGTTGCCAGTGCAATTCCCTGTAGCTTCTGGCAAAAAAAACCCCCCCCCTCCCAAAACACCCGCTCAGGTAAAACTGTTGAATTGACTCACAGGCTCCAAGACAGCAGGATCGCCTTTCTCTCCTTTCTGGCCTCTAACAGCAGCCTGAGGAAAACACACATGCAGTCAATAACAAGTACACACACACACACACACACACGAGGCAGAAAAAGTGTGCACAAAGACACTGAAAGCAGATTTCAGTGTTTTGACTGCATGCACATACACATGTATCAAACATTATCGTACTAGAGTTGATAAAAGAGTAAAATAAAATGAAAACCTGCTCTGCTTGAATTAAAGTGTAACTTTGTATCCAAATACCATTGATTCAGCAGCTCTCCAAACTGTTGCTCCATGACTTACAAACGTATTTATGCACAGATACAGAATCCTCTGAGCTGGGCACCAAAATACAAAGACATATACTCAAAACGACATTCAGGGCAAAAGATCACCTCTGAATGCCTCTTTATGGAGAATATGTGACAGTATAAGTTACTGTAAGGCTCAATACACACACTATAAAATCAAACCCATTTCAACCACTGCTGTGATAACTTTGCCTTGAAATGCATTCGCTGTCCGTTTCTCTGTGACTGACTGAGTTTGCGGGCTATAAAACGGAGACTGTGAACAAATTTTACATGAATGTCGTCCACTCTGAATTCACAGTTTGGTGAATGATGGTTGATGCATCCAGTCTGGATAGCTGAGATTTCTAAACTCCATGTTTGAGGATCATCTCTGTGCCAGTTCTCAAAGCAATGTTCAGTGTTTCAATTCAAATGAGCAAATTAGCTACCAAATGTAAGGCTTAATGTAAGATAATCTCTCTCTGCAGTGCAAACTCAAACAAGTCACGTGACGGGACACTGAATGCAATTTCACGATACTTTGTAGAGCTGGTTGAAATGTTTTTTGTGTTTTTGCCTCTGAAGCAAAGCGACTTACGCCTCCCTCGTCTGTCACAGCGGACAGGGCGGGGCCAATGTTGCCATCAACCTCTGCAGTCTCTGGTGATGGTTCATTGTAGTCTCTGTAGTTATAGTCGTACTCCTTAAGGCCCAAGTCCCCAGTCTCATACTCCTCAGTGAAGAGCTCTTCTCCAGTACCACCCGCCTTGGCGGCGTCTACCTCTTCTCCCGCCAGTGCTGGCTCCACCTGAGGCTGCGACGAGTTTATCGTAGCCACAGCGGGATGGAAGGAGGGGCACGAGAGAATGATTCAAGCAAAGGAAAAGAAAAGGTGCAGAAAGGACGAGGAGAATAGTCAAAGAGAGGGGGAGAGGTGTGCAGGACGGGTGGAATTGAAATAAAGAATGAGAGGAAAGCAGCGGTGGAAGAGGAGCATACAGAAAAAAGTGAGTCTTACCTTTTATAAATAAACAGTCACAGAGGGAGAGAACACAAACAGACATCTGGCAGACCGTACAGGCGATCAGGTTTATCCTGGAAACCCTAAATCTTCCATTAATCATCTGAAGTTTAGTTTATTCTGGAATAATTTCACCAAAGCTTTTTAACATCAGCCCTCGTGATGACCGGTGATCAAATACGTTCTCACAATTGTAAACGTTTGAGAAGCAAAAACACTTTTAATGGTGATGTTTGCATCGTAGGTGCACACACAGAACTGATGTTAAACACTTTGTGAAGACGAGCTGCTACGCAAAGCAAAAACTATGTTATTTCTTTTTTTTTTTACTTACCATGTAAGTTTAATAACAAACAAGAATCCAGTGAATTTACTGCACAGTTTTCTAATATAAAAAAATCCACATTGCATTAATATATCTGACACACCCTCCCTGATAATTATGAATAATGTCGGTATTTGGTTTCTAAATCATATCCTGATAAAAAAAACGCAGCAAAAATCAAAACTGGAAAACAAAACAAAATCAAAAATGTGATGAATCTGCAAATCATCTAGATCTTTAGTACAGTTAGATTGTCTCTCAAACAAGAATGCATTTAATTCATCTTTTTTTTGCTGAGGTTCAAAGCACACATCAAATATTCTTATGTGGATCCTGTTTTCACAAGATTCTTGTTCTTATGTCGAGATAACGACAATGATGAATCTCGAGATGAGAACAAAACGGGACTCTTGCTGTTAGGAAAAACGGGAACCACGTAAAAATATCCGATGGTACACTCGGATGATTGCGGTGCATTCTGTTTTGAAAGAGGTTTTTCTTATGTCTTGTCACGTGACATCGATGCCAACAAAACAGTGATGAGTGGTTAGAAAAGTAAACGGAGAAACAAAGAGCTTAAACTGCTTTGTTACACTACAAAGACTGGGCTCACCACCACACAGGAATCACATCCTCCTCTCCCTGGAGGTTTTATTAAAACACTCGTATGTGAAGTTTAAGCTGTTCTGTGGACTCTAGCTTGACTTGATGTGTGTTTCTGATAAGTGTGTCATCTTCTTTTTACCTGTACAGCATTTTCTTCTTGTCCAACCACCTCACCCTCTGGCTGTGTGAAGGTCTCCTCATAGTAATAATCAGTCTCTGTAGGGGTGTGGCCAGCCTCAGAATATTCAGTGTCTACATCCTAATTGGTCAAGTGGACAGGAAGTGGGGGAGCAGGGAGGAAGTAAGCAAATTCGATTGAGAGAGTGTGGTTAGTTCAAAGTCTGCTTCTGGTTCATGATGAGTTAAAAGAAGAAATGAGACATGAAACTGTGGTTGGCAAAGGCAAAGAGCTTTTTAGCTGCAACTCACATCTTTAAAGTTTAAAGAACCGTTTTTGAAAAGAAATTTCAGGTCGTTTCAGAATCTCAGTGACTATAAATGTTGCCTTACGCAAGATTTAGAGAGTCCTTGAGATAACTGTAGTGAGATTTCTTTTCATTTCTTCGCTGAACCATTTTTGCTTTTTAAAGCTCACAAGCCAAGACTTAAGAAAGGGTGAAATATGCTCGTATTGGTGGTAGAACTGAGAGCTTCTAGCCATCCCATCAGGTGAAAGCATCATAACATGATGCTCTGGGATGAACTAGTTTCACCTCAGGATGAGACAACAGTGAAACAACCCCATTTAACAGCCTCACAGAACACGATTCAGTGAAGTCAATCACTGCTTTCCACAGCATGCACCTCACGTGTCTCCACCTCGATGAACATTTGCTGAAATTCTGATTTTAAGCAAAGCATGATGGAAAGTTCTGTGAAGCTGCTTTACTCACATGAGATACAAAATATGACAGCAGACAAGAAGACGGAGATCAGGGAGAAAACACAGGTACGCAAAAAACAACCAAAACACAGAGAGGACAGAGTGACAGGGAGGTCTGATGTGTTGCAAGTGTGTAAAATATGATAGTATGTGTTGCATTTATGTGCCATAGCAATCCATGCTCATTCATAAGACCCGTATGTTAAAGGTTTCCCCGGAAAGAAAGAAACAGAGGGCTGGAGTGCGTTTATGTTCTGACATCCAGTTTCAGCAGCTTGAAGGTAGGAGTGAAGTAAAGAACAGTGAAACCGTTCGATTAGCCATGCTTCACTTTGCACCGCTGTACCATATCATATGTGGAAGTTGGCGTGATCATGGAGATCATATGATATATGAACAGACAGCTTGGTATGAACCAGCTTCCATTCTGAAGGCCAGATTTTGCATCATCGAGGATTTGCATCAAAATTACTGAAAGTTCAAAGAATTCACAAAACAAAGCAGGAAAAAAAGAGGTTTCATAAAACTTTTGCTGCAGATCCGGATGATGGAAAGATCTAGATAAGAGATCGGAAAGATGGGACATACGACCCGGGCTGTTCCAACCCAAACATCGGCCTCCTGCTGTACCTGCTGATAACGGTTGGTAGCTTTCTTCGGTGGGACTCCAGTTCCGCTCAGCGCTGTGTTGCCAAACGGTGGGAAAGGTTTGTGGAGCGATTTTATATCCGGCACTTTGTTGACTCTTGTGGGTCTGGGTGGAGTCGGTCGGACTGGGGAAGATGTTGCCACTGACTTCGTCGGGGTGGAATCCCTGACGAAGTTATTCCCCCGTTTGCTCACCAGGGGGACTTTGGTCACAGCTTTAACGTCTTTGACGTCTGCCTTGCTTTGGGTTTTTACTTTTGGAGCTTTGGTGGCTGCAGCTTTTGTAGGTCCTGGTTTTGATGCTTTGGTGGGTTTAGGTGCCTTGGTGGCTTTGACCACAGTTGTTTGAATTTTTGTTGTAGTTTTGTGGTTGCCATTAGCCTTAGCCCCACCATTGCCGTTACCTTTTGCTTTAACATCAGTGGCCGTTTTGCCGTTTCCATTGGCTTTCTTCTCTGTTGTGGCTTTTCCATTGCTGCTAGCCTTCAAGGTAACAGGAGCTTTCTTCTCAGCTACAACCTTACCATTGCCATTTCCATTTACTTTGACCTGAGGTGTTGGTTTGGCTCCAGTTGTAGCTTTTGCGTTACCATTTGCTTTCTTCACAGCACCAGTTTTGCCATTGCCATTCTTCGCTGGGGCAGCTGTGGGCTTAGATTTGGTTGGTTTGATTTTAGACAGGAGGACGTCTGCTGCAGTGGGCTTTGCTTTGGAGGACTTGGAAGCTTTGGTGGGCATAGGTGGCTTGATGACGAGTTTATATGATCCAGACTTGACGGGCTTAGCTGGAGTGGGCTTGGTTTTTACAAGTGTGGGTTTAGCAGGTGCTGTTTTTTCAGTGACTGCCTTCTTCTAATAGCCGTGATTATTGTTTGGTTGAGATGTTATTTTGTATGTAAACGTGAATATGGACAAAGACAATGAAAGAGAGTAGAAGATGACAAAGATACACGGAGATGGGGAGGGGGGTGAAAAGCACAAACAAGGGATGACAGAAGGAGAGAGAAAGACAAGAACGCATGTTTTGAGAAACAATGACATAAAGATGGCTAAGGCTCGGATGATTTACTGAGACTGTACAGGCATTACTGGATACAGCACAGAAGTACACTGACACCACTTAAGCATTGAAAATGGAATTTACACCAAGATAGCCAAACAATATGAAATATTTCATGTCTATGAACCAATCTATTTGAGTTTGTTTTTTGCTGATCTCTCCAATAATGCCATTCCCAATACTAAATAACAAAGCAGCATCTTTGTGCTAATAAGAACTGAGGCTGTGGTTTGGCAGAGGCACTGAGATGGGGCAGGTAAAGCTGGCTGCAAAACACTCACACATACACACACAGGCACACACAAACATACATAACGCTGATACCAAACCTGCTGTGTTGTGATTAATGCACCAAGCAAACTGTAAGAGAAGGTTGCTGCAGTTTAGTCATGCAAAAGAAGTTGCAGGGACGGCGGTCTGGCATGCAAATGCGTGTTAGTCACATAAAACTAGGGCTGCCACGATTAGCCGACTAGTCACGATTACGTCGACTATCAAAATCGTCGACGACTAATTTAATAGTCGAGGCGTCGTTTGAAGCTTTGTAAGATCCCAAAAGACGCAGGAATAAGTAGTAGGATTTAAGAGTGTAATAACGGACTGAAAC